TTTTACATAATTATGCACCTTGTTTTTGTTTCTCTTTCTGATAGTTGACTTACGCGAAGCAGTGCTTTGAGCGAAAAGGTACTCCGACTTCGTTAGAAGTTGTATATTTAGCAGGTTTCCACTTAACATTTCTAGGTAATTTTAAGAAAATGCATCTATAAAAAAGTAGCTAAAAGTGCTTTCTCGTTCGTTAAGGTGATAAGAACTTTCTTCCTCCTTGTGTTCGATAATTAAGTTTGTTTATTATTGTATTCATATTTATTAGCTCGATAATAGGTTTCGATTTGTAATAATCGCTTTTCCTGTGTTCGGCAATCATATACTGCTTTCGCCATATTTATGTTAGTTATTAAGTGTCTTCGGTCTCGAGCGAAACATTTTGCTCTACAAGTGAATTATTCGTAATTATGGCAGAGTGTAAAAACTTTCATTGACAAAAAATTGCAAATTTGTGAAGCATTCAAATGTGAGAAGTAAAAGGGTACTGCTACAAATGCATCACCTGCATTAGATTATGGGAGAAACTAAAGGATTAATGACATTTGTTTTTGGCAATACTTTTTCATTAATTAATGTTTGAAAAGGAATTTAAATTTTGCAAAAAAATATAAATTAAGGCTAGAGAAAAAACGTTTTTCTTTAAATACATATTCTTTTAAAAAATAAAATATATTTTATACACTTTTATCCCCTGTTTCGAGTAATCAAGGTTAAGCTAAAGATTTTTAGGAAAACCACGTCTATAGTACTAATTTTATTGTTTTAAGCCCTTCAGTTACAGAAGGTGTTGTATCTTGTATTAAGTATCTTTTAGCTTTGAGTAAATATCTGTATAATTTTTTAACATACATAAAGTACATCGGTATCTTTGATGTTAAAATATCCTAAGTATGAATAAATTCAGAGGCGCATGCATGCAGAAAAATTATCTTAATTTTGTTACGGAAATTAATTCCAGTCTCGAACCTTAAAACTAATTATAAAACTGCGAAGTTTATATGTCTAAATATCAATATTTATATGTTTCTCTAGTGAAATGGAACCAACGCTTTTGGTAAAAATCTAAACGTAAATTACCCAGAAAAAAAACTGAAATAACTCATCAGTGTCATATTCAAAAATAAATTATATGGTTTTAGCTTTTGAAATTTGAAAGGGAAAAACTTTATAGCTAATGCTTTATAGCTTCATGGATACATCATCCCGGATTTTTCACCAAACTTCGATCACAACCTTGAAACTTCGATAAATTCACCAACCTTCAAACGTCAATCAATTCACCAACCTTGAAACTTCGATCAATTCACCAACCTTGAAACTTCGATCTTCAAGATTAACTGTACAGAGTGAAATACTTTTGTATTTCTGCTTCATTCTCCACCTTTGATTTTAATTATAGAACATGGTAGTTTATTTAGATTCACCAGACATCCCAATTAATTCTGTTTTCATAATTCTTATCCATTCTAGTACTGATCAAAGTTATCCACATCCAGAGACAGACAGATTTGTCATAACATTCCTCGCATCAGGCAAACAACACAGAACTGATGATTGTTTAAGCACCTTTTCAGTGTTTCAGACGTTTCGGTACCAAAGACTCTCTAAGGAGAAGAATGAAAGCTTCTATAGACGCAATGTAAACCTGTTTCGCCTCTGCGCCGCTGTACCGAAGAGTCACGGCTATGCAGTGAAACAGCAGCGCAGGGTGAAATTAAACAGCGCACTTCGAGGAGATAGTAAATTTTTTACTTTGAAATAACTCAAAATGTTTTATTTTCATACATTTCTGGAGTTTTCTGAGCAAAAGGATGTTAGTTGGAATTTTGGGGCGAATTATAGAAATCCTGTCCAATTTTTACTTTCAATTTAAACAGCGAGCCGTACGAAGACAAAATTTAAAAAATCATTTTGTTTTAGTGTTGATCTTTTATGTTATCTTAATTGTTTCGCATGGAACATCCTAAAGTTCAATTGCAAAAAAAAAAAAATAAATTTTATTTTTTTATATGCCTTATTTTTCCCCCCTTCTTTCTGTAAATCCACATAATTGTTTTTCATTTGGTATAATATCCAGCATTAATTTATAACTAACATCAGAATTAGAAGAAAACAAAATTAACTACGGCTGTGATGTTAAATTTCTAACAAATCTGCAACTAATTACATAAATAACGCTATTTTGTAATTCTTTTCATATCAAGCATATTATTAAATATTAAAATAAAAAATAACACATTTTAAGTAAAAAAATGATATTTATTGACATTTCTCAAGTTTCAGAATATACGTATGCAAAATATAGACAATTATTTGGAATGACCATTATGAAAACCATGAGCAATGTTTGCACCCAAGAGCCAAAAGCATATCACTTAATTTAACAAATACAAAATTACACTTAAAAGGCCTTTTAAAGAATTTCACATAAATTATTAAAATAACTGATTTCATTCTTTTTTGGTAAAATATTCAATACTTCTTACATTTATTAATATAAGTTTAAATACTTAACTTGAAAATCAAACCTATAGGTATTATTAAAAGCTGCGAAGAAATTTTGTAAATAATTTACCAAATCAATTAAATATTGTTATATCAAACAAATATTGTAGCCATTAAGAAGAAAATTATTTCAAATTATAAAATTAGGAATAAAATTTTTAAAATAAAAATTACAAAAATGACTATTTTCCACCTTTGCTATACAACTAATAATTGTAAATTTGCTGTATGCTTGGATTTTTTATAATTTTAATTTTGCAGAAAAATCTATTTAATCCAAAATTATTCAACAAATGAGTACATTTAGTTCTGTAAATTTAAAAAGGGGGAAAACATATGCCACACAATATGTAATAATTTTTTATGAATCCATAGTTAAAATTTTACAGTGAAATTTTAAAAGCAAAATTTGCATATAACTAACTGAAACAGAAAAAATAATTAAAGACAATTAAAGGCACCCCTAAATAAATTGAAAACACTGAAATACATTATAATTATCCGACAACTACTTTAAAAAAATTACGATGAAAACTTTTAGACAATTATTTTTAATGACCATTATGAAAACCAAGAGCAAACAGGACTTTTAAAGCCATCTTTTGGCAGCTACAGATATTTCTTAACACAGGAAATGATAATTTTGAATAAACAAATAACAATTCAAAAACTGTCAGGTAAACTTTAGGCAAATTTATGCGGTCTAAAGGACATCTTTAGAACATTCAGGATGTTCTAAAAGCGAAGTTTAGGACATTCTTACATTATGCGGAATTTGGTTTTTTACAGCTTCCATTGTTCGAAGCTTGTATATGTTTCAGATAACTTTTTATTTCAATTATGATTGTCATTACAATTACCTTTTTGTTTATGTTTTTTGTTTGTATAATTATTACTCATTTATTTACTGAAGTTTATTTGGGACTTTGAAAAGAGTCAGAAACTTAAACGAAATACTGAATAACTTTATACGAGCACTATATGTTGTGCTTTCCGATTTATATGATGTTATCAGAATTTGTATGTCTCTTAATCTGCTTTGGGAACATGACGTGTCCTGAATGGGAACATGGAGCTTACTCAAGCTATGTTCAAATATGTGTGGAATGGACGACACAAGCAGGAAGGGTTAATTTTACCCTTTGTTTTCAATCTCCACACTTCGGGATACAGAGACCAACTACTTGTGGTCTGAACGTAAAAGTATAAAAACTACTTACTAAATAAATTTAAAATAAGAGCTAACTTTGAATGCTTGATACTAACACTAAGACTGGCCTTTTAAATTATTACGTATGTAGTGCGCAAACTGCTGAAAACTACAATAAATTAACGTTTAAAATAACGAGAGGACTAGACTTCGCAGCGGACAGCAGCTGATTGAAACCTCGTGCGGAATGCAGTGGCAAGACGGCTCACTTTCTCTCTATCTCTGTTCTTCGCAAAAAGCCACAACTTAAATACTTAAGGGTTAGCAAGTACAATTTGCATATACAAGTTAATGCATTTATTCTGGCCGGAAGTGGAAAAATACGAGAGGATAGTAAAGTTTTAAAATAAAATAAACGTTAGTAAAATTTACGATCCTTACAATGTTACTTCAGGAATTCAAATGACAGAAAGAATTCTGGGGATCTTTCTGTGTTTCTTTTTAATGCAGAAATATGGAAAATTTATAAATTAATATTAACACGATTAGATATCTTTATGTGATAAGATCACGTGATATCTTCACTATAAAGTGATTATAATGTCTTATAATCGTATTTAACATCAGGTATTTTCAGTTTTCATAGTAGACTACCAAGGACTTACGAAGTAGATCTCATGATTCCAACGAAGAATTTCTGTCTTGTGTCGAAAAAGAACATAACAAAGAATTTTTAAATATGCTGTAGAGACATTAGGTATTTTTTGGAAGCAGGCAAAATGAAAAATTAGCAAACGCCTTCGACAGGAATTGAACCACGGACCTCTTAAATACCAGCCCATCGGGGAGTTTCGCTAGACCACGAAGGCACGCTAGGAAGGCGGGAGAAATACCTTATATACTCCCCCTTTTAAAGGGCAACTGGGGTTTTAGGAAACCCAGTCGCCATATCCTGGAAGTGAGGAGAATCATCATCCACCACCCTTTTAGTTCGGGCGCCGCTATAGAGACATTAAGTAATTTTTTGAAATCAGGAGAGCTGAAAAATTGAGCAACGCCCTAGCCGGGAATCGAACCACAAACCTCTGGAATACGCGCCCAAGCGTGAAGACCGCTACACCACAATGGCACGTTAGGAAGGCGGGAGAAATACCTTATAATGCAAACAAATGAAAACATATGTTCCCTGATTTTAGAACTTCCCTGATCTTATAATTTTTATGGAGCATTCCACAAATATGATGGATTTATTTTGTGGTACAAAAAAGTATTTATGCAACATGTTTTCTAAAAAATATCTTAAATGCACCATACTTGAGTTTATTCTGGCATAATATCTGTTTAGTATCTCTTCTTTTAGGTGACCTGTCGCAAGAACCTCGTTACAGACGACGACTTTATCTCAGGCGTTCCGACATAGCCCATATCGAGAGAGCCCGTGCTAGAACTCTTCGAATGACGATCATCATTGTGCTGACTTTCTTTTGGTGCTGGACGCCTTACGTGGTCATGGTCCTGTGGTACCTCTTCGATCCTGTCTCTGCCGATAAAGTAGATTCTCGCATCCAGTCCTCCTTGTTCATGTTCGCCGTGTCCAATTCCTGCGTCAATCCTCTCGTCTATGGAAGTTACGTCCTCAACTTTAAGCAGGTGTTTAAAAGAGCCTTCTGCAGGAGACAAGGTTCGCAAACAGGATCCGTAAACCACACGCAAATTACCACACCTGCTAAACGTGCGCCAGCATGTGAACCTGTTCAGAGAGCTATTTCTGTGCATATGAATTTAAATGGAGTCGGCACTTACCCAACGCTGGTGAAAGAGCAAGATGTGCATTTCACGTCAAATTTGCAGAGATGTCATTTTAGTAGTAGTTGCGGAAAGTTAGTGAGTGAAAGACGTGCATGTATTTCGAAGAATAAAACTCAAACTAGTGTTCATAGCTTGGATCATTAAACAAAGGAGTAATGTCGACGATATGATTGCAAGATGGCATAACCATTTTTCCATAAACAAGATAAAGTGACGTAAGTAGAAAAAGTAGATTTTCCGGGGATTGCAAACTCAATAAGCATGGATTAAGCAACTGCTCAATAAGCAATCGCTTTAAAATTTTAAATTGTTTGCTCACATACTTACCAATTTACTTAGTATTTCCTTTTACATTTTGCATTATTATTGTTATCATTATTAATAATATCTAAGTGCGCAATATGAGCGAATGCGTAATGTTTAAAACTGAATTAGGGTTCATACTTCTAATGAAATATCTTTATGTAATAAGAATCATCAAAAGATGAAATACTAATTAGATTACTTTCATTCAAATGTAATTATCAAGATTTGATGAAGAGTGTGTTTCCATATTTATTATTTCTACTTAAATTTGAAAATAAGAAGGCTTAAATAAATAAAGAGTATGAAGGAATTGGTTTACTCGAAGTATTATTCAAACTAAAATTGGAGAAGTTTCTGCTGAAACCAAATGTTATATATAAATTTTGCAGTAAAGTGTCAGTTCTTATATGCAAGTCGTACTAGTATTGTACCAGCAATCGTTTTGTCAAAGAACTCTTTTCTTGAGCGAAGGAGGAAGGTGGGACTTTACGAATTTCGTCTTGCTTCTGGTAACTTGCAGATATTGCAGTTGGTATTGCACTTGTTATTGCAGTTTAGTGACCACTGTACGAGATGTTGACAAATGTAATTATATCTATAGCAAAATATATTCATTCGTCATTCCAAACTCCTTTACGGCAACCTTTCATAATATCGCATGATACGATTTATAAATAGCACAGACGTTTTTATCTAGAAATATATGTTTAAATATTTCTTCAGAATCAAAAATAACACTTTTGCTTATGCCACTTATCTTGTATTGTTCAGATATTTGTATTGTGAGCTTTATCAACTCTTCCGATCTTTCATTACCATACTTGCATGCATTATTAATGTACTGACCAAAAGTTTCTGAAATGATGTATTCAAAGTTAATAACAGACTTTAAGTCCCAATGATAACCATCATCCTTAAAGTAACCACGCTCAGTTCCTCACATATACAGCAGTCTATCAACTGCTTTTCCCGAACTGAACGTTTGTTTTAAGTCATTTTAGAAGGACTTTGGAGGTTTAATTAAGTTCGTTGTTGAATATCCTGAATTGTGTGCAAATGATGAAACTAACAGAAGATTAAATCGGAGATGATGGAAGATGAGGAGCTTGCTGTTGTTTGCCAGAAAATGCACATGTCTCATAGCCTTGTGTGATGGAATGCAATCTGAGTAAAGAAGGTAATTAATAGAATTCTACAGCTTGGACTGCAGACTCATCATTTGTAATGTAACCGACACAAAACATTGTGACAGATAGCTGAAAACGCAGTGAAGCCAGCATGTATGTATTCGCAGTGCATATTTCCGTCAATATCAGTAAACAAAGTGAATATGCTCATCTCTTGGCTTTCTAGTTAATTGTCTATATTTACTCAAATATTCACAGACTTCACTGCATCACTGGAATTTTAACCGTTAACGTTTTGTCTTGTTTAATACAACATTTCATGCTCATTTAATACAAAATTTCATCCAAACGCTTTACTCTAATATCAGTTTCTGCCATATAAAACATAAGAAATGCAAATTCAACTCAATGCGAAAAATTGTTATACTTTATACCCCTTTCAACGTAATAGGAGCCTATTTCGAGAAATGACTTACAAGATATGTGAATACAGCAACATGATGCACCAAAAGGTAGACAAAGATGTATCCTTCATTGTCAGTACACTGCGGGATTAAAATGTATTATTTTAACAGTTTTAAACTCTGTTTGTACTGCAAGAATGATTACATACTCAAGGTAATAAATCACATAATTTATACATGTTTTATCTAAATAAAATACAAACGGTATCCATAAAATTCTTCTCGTAGCCTTTATTTTCACAGCCGTTATTTCACATTAATGAACATAGCATACAGTTATAAAATATATTTAAGTACTTTGAATTATTTCAAATATTTTGCTTTGACATTTTTATATTAAAAAACTGAATTATGGAAAAATATAGAAATCTTTTATAAGATTTATAATCTCTGTTAAGGTTAAGCAGCGCTCTTCGGTTTCCTCTGGTTAGGTATATTTATTAAAGATTTATATGGATTCTGAAAAGTAAAGTACAAAACGCTTGACTTTCACTGGATGAAACAGCTGTGATATTTAAGTTTAATTTTTTATTTTATTCCTTCTGAAATTTCAAGGGAGGTACCCAAGTTGAAATGAGAAACTTATAAATTGTAATAAACTAAAAGTTAAATATAAGTTTAAATCATGAGGTTAATTATGTTAATAGATTAAAATATGAACACCGATTTAAACTGATTGTCTTTAATACTTTTAAATAAATTTTATTTTAAAAAAGAGATCTTATTTACATGACCTTATACAATTTGCACTCTACAACAGCCTTGACATAACCATCTTATAATATTATAAATTTAAAATGAAAAATAGTTTTAATCCAACGCGCTTTTTGTATGACTATTAGATGATTGTTATAGACTATTAGATGATAATCCCAAGATAATAAAAGTGACGTGAATAGTATTGATATATATTTATCATTTTAAACTTGTAAACTACTTCTATGAAACTGCTTTCAGTATATCAGGTATAACAAAATTATATATTAAAGAATTTCATACATTAGTAAATCAAAAAATAATATCTCTTAATGACATTAAATTATTAAACAAAAACCAATTTATTCTAAAACGTTTTGTAGAACCCCTCAATCAGAGCAGCAAGTTTCATTTATTGGGACTGTATAATTTCTAAAAATTTCAAATATTCTAATAAAATAGATTAGTTATATTTATTGTAAATGATCAATATCTTTTGCGTGTTTTATTTCTTTGAATGAGTATGGTCTTTTGACCTTTTAATAAATATAACTATAGGAACTGTGGGACCCGTGTAAAAATCAGATATTAGAGATTTTACAAAATATTTTTTTTTTGTTTTTTTGTTTAAAAATGCCAAAACATAAACATTTAAAATAAACGTTGAACACGATCATGTAAAATATAAAAGTAGGTATTTAAAAGGCAAACTTAATTTTGGCGTAGATTGTAAAAAAAAAAAAGCAGTATCGATTACAAGCGCAGATCTGTGTCTGACTTCAAAATCCTTCAAAAGCGAAATGTTTTTTTAAGAAACAGACATGTATTTTGTGAAAATTAGCCTGTGCATTTCCCTGAACCGGAAAGAAGAAAACAAATGTTGAATCAATTTAGATCGAATGTGCGGCAACAAAAATCAACAAAAAGAGAACAGAAACACCACGAAACTAAACCTAAACAGAAGGAAGTGCAGAAAACTTTTATCTGATCGCTCTCCAACCCGATAGAGGTTTATTTAAAATCTATTACAATTTAAGATTGCTTTTTTTGCCTAGGTTTAAAGTTCAATATTTGCCTTAGATATAGCATTTGGTAATTGGACATCTATATTTTGACAACGGATGCGGAACTAAAGGCCTCATAAGGACTGTTGTATACACACTGCATGTTCGTAATCCTGTTACGAAAGAAATTCGGTGCTCTTTTTTAATTGTAAGATGTATCCTTTTTATAAATGTGTTTATGCGAATTATGTGAAATGTATTTTTATTAATACAAATACGTATTTCTTCCTTATAGTGTTTTTCGTATCTATGTCTTTCAAATTATGTTACGTGAAAATTAATATTCATGTTTATCATCGTCATTATTATGTAACTCTACCTGTTAAATATTGAAAAATGGCTGTTTTATGTATTAATTCCCAAATAATACTTCGTTAAAAATGTTAAATAAAATTGTATAAAAATATATAGCTTTATTTATTCACGAAACAGCAGAGTTATTATGCATATTAAGCATACATGAGAAGAAAACAAATGTTGAATCAATTTAGACCGAATGTGCGGCAACAAAAATCAACAAAAAGAGAACAGAAACACCACGAAACTAAACCTAAACAGAAGGAAGTGCAGAAATTAAAGAGAAGCATCAATATATGGATTTCAGCAACAGGAAATTGAAGTCCATTTGGATATGGGTAAGAAAAATGAAGCAAAATACTAAAATATAATTTCAAACAAATGAGAGGACTTAGCTATAAAAGTATTCAACATACTAGCTCTTACGAGCTAGATTTCAACATGAGATTTAGTTCATGATACATATTCAACTACTGCTATTCTCCAAACAGTGCCCGCTACTATTATCGCCATTTTGCTAACCAAGTAAAAACTTCGCTGCAAACTGATATTCCCTTTCATAAATATTTAATTGGATGCCATTTGTGACAAAAAATCATTAAAAAGTTCAGCGCTACTAATGCAAGAGAAAGGATGGAGAATTTTCTGAATGAAAAGCTAGTTCAAGTTCAAATTAAGAAAACGGGATCCATCAAGGCAAACATTGTACTGACTGAGATTTGCACTCTGACAGTCTCGGTTCTGGGGGCCATAAAATACACTAATCTATGGTTCCTGTAATCTGTCACATTGAATTAAGACTTACAACCCAGCTTTTTCTACGCCCACAGGGACGTTGCGTCGAAAATCCCGTCTGGCAGGTAGCAGATTTGAGGGTCGCACATTGGATGATCCAGATTCACAGCCTCCACACCATTCGTAATGTAAGAGGGGAATTATTTTGCAACCCAGACGTCCAGAAAAAGTCATGTACTATTTCTTTACGATCTTCGAGCATTCCTGAGCCTGCGTGTCCTGCCCAACATTGAGAATACCAAAAGTGTTAGCTATGCAGTGCGGTCACACAGACAGGTGGACCATATATATATACTTAACCCTATGTTTTACGGTTACTAAACTAGGGATAAAATTACTAGACTGAAATTTTGTGCCCACTTGATGATTAATAAATGCACTACAATTTAGGAATTTGGATTAATAAATTAATTTTAAAACCGAAATTATAACTAACATTTCAGCAAATTTTCATTCTCTCACTTTTATTGAAATGTGCTTTTTTGATACAGAACTGCTGACTGCATCGGAGTTTCTGCAAGAAATAATAAGAAAAAAGAAATAATTTTAAAGGTAACCAATGGTTATTTAAATAAATCTTCTTGTAAAACCTGTAATCTTCCTTCCCAAAACTGTGACTTTTTTATTTGTACCACAAAGTATCATATGAGACTAAATACAGAAAATGAGCAGTAAAGGTAAAATTTAGGAAAGATAATAATCATTTACTATGCATTTGCAAATAAAAATTTAAGTGCCAATTTTAAGATTCCTCCGTTACTGCGAAATTTTGAATACAGAAGAAGCAAATGTTCAACAGTTTCCTCGCCACTGACGCTACAATCACAAAACTTATCTGGACCCAATTGAAATCTGCTCAGATAACTTTTAAAGTTTCCATGGCCAATAAATATATTGAACCACTTTAAAATTTGTAAAAAATTATAACATGACAGTATCATTTTGACAGAAGATAAAAACTCTTAGCTAAGCTCTCTTTATTTGAACTGATTACATCAGTTCAAATAATTCATAATGCTCATGACGTACAGAAGGATTTATGAATGCTGATAAAAATGTCAGTCTCGCGCTTGGTGGCAGTTTTCAAGAAAATCTGTTTTTTCATTCCCAACAATACCCGTATATCCAAGAACAAATATGTTTTTTTTTATCTTTTAGGTTATTCAGTTGTCTCTACGGTCTCCAGTTTAAAACAGCACTATTTTGTTCAGTGATCCATTTGATGGCAAAATTTAAACACAAAAGTTCAGGTACAGTTCATCTTGAATTCTAAATAAAACGTATACATAAATTCTAAATAAAAATTCTTCTAAATAAAATTGTTGAATTCTAAATAAAACGTATATACAAATTCTAAATAAAAATTCTTCGAATTCTAAATAAAACGTATACAAAGTACAGGTAATATATACTATATTGTACAATCTTTCTATACAAAAAAATCAATTCAAAAAACATAGACAAGTTAACAATTTAATTATTTTTACCTTGCTTAAATAAAAATACATTATCCGGAAATAATCTATGATTCTAGCTAAATTAAAATTCAAGACCATTTCTGAAGAAATGAAAAACTACCTGGCCATCAATTTTATTGCCATCGGTATAGCACGTTACGGAGAAATCATCTGCAATTTTAGGGATAATCTGAATATCATTAATAGCATTTATTTTAAGGATGAGTAAAAGCAAATAGAGTCAAAACACAATCACGACCAGATACAGAGAAGCAGAGAGATTTTACTTAACGGCAGTATAATAAAGAATGGTTTGTAAATTGGAGGTAAACCAGAAACAAACTGAATGACTGGAGGTAAACCAGAAATTGCATAAACATAGTGAGCTTATGATGCGATATCGACAAATGACCAGCTGAAGTATCCGCCCTTGAAAGCGTCGCAGATGCTTATAATTTATTATCCTCTTATAACTCCAAACTCTAGAGCCGTCATTATGAACAGATGATTTCAATTCCTTGCTTACAGATGAACGAGCGCAGTTTGAAATTAACAGCTTACGTGTTGCGTACAGTTAGACTTAATCCACGCTGAAATTTAGCACATTCATCTACTAAGTTAAATATAGTTCCCAATAAAATTCAATAAATCAAGGAAAACCCTTATTTTTTTTTACCATAGCGATTGGAGTTCCGTCGAGAAATGTTCGCTCTTCAATACGCATGACTTTGGTTTCATCAGAATTAAAGTCCAGTTTAAAACCTGTCATTAAAACATGTTAATAATGTCAGAAATCACTGTAGTCCAGCTGATAATAAACTAATACATTATTTCAATGATAATGTTCTGTTTCACACCTCAGAAGTCTTTAAGAGATTAAAAAAGAAAATGATCTTCGAGTTATATGGAATGTCAAGTAATTGGGAAAAAGAGTTCGCGGAGACCTATTGTTTATACAGTTTTATTAATTCTGTGGTGCTGAAATTTATTTTATACAAGTCATTTAAAGTACTTTATGCACATAATTTTTATAACATTTATGTAGCGGTAGATCCTTCCACAACATTTACTTCTACTTCAACTTAGCAGAGCCGTGACGTAGTGCAGTGCAGCTTGAAAAGCTACAGACGAGAGTTGGAAGTGCTGGAGACGAGACGTGTTCCAGAGAAGTGGATATCTGAGATGAAACGGTAGCATGCAGACGGCCTGTGGGACCCAGCAAGACATTTCCTATATCTATGCCGAAGTTGGCAGACGTGCCTTTGAATGTATTTATGGAAACTGTGAGTTAGTTAGCCGTACAACAATTCTGTGGAACTGTTGAAATTACAATCATTGTGAGACTGCTTGCAACGTTAACTTTAACTATCTTTTATTTATCTTACCTTTCATTCATTTAATATTAGTAAAATAAAGCAGTAATTATGCTTTAAATGGGTTCTACTATGTTGTTTGAAAGTAAATACTTCATTTATACTTATGAATATAGAGTATAGTTTTAATTTTATATTTCAACTTTTTCTGTTCAAATAAATTAAATTTAAAACATAGCTTCTCCTACATATTGATGTATAAAAATAATTATGGTATAAAAATCAAGGCGTAAAGAAAATGTAGTGGCCTATGCAGGATGTGAATAAAATACTTTCCCACTACACTTTTACATAATGTAAAATTAGTCTATTTAGGTTTATGAATTTGAAATATATTTTAGATATAGAATATATTTTCTCTTAAGACAATCTTACCTTTCTGACAATATTCTCCAGAATGGCTTTTACTACGAACTAACATGCTGATAGTGAAAAATGATGAGTAGAAGAAAGATATTCCAATAACGAGTAGCTGAGTGACGCAGTTTACACAACGTTTCATAACATTAATCTTGATATACTGATAGGAATGACCAATTCAAGAGGGAAGACGGTAACGTTAATGAAAGTGATGAAAGAAGTCACACATATGTTTTAGATACATTACAGCTAAATTATGCAAATATAAGAGAATATAATTGTAATGTCAATGTAAAAATCAGTTTCTCTCAGAGTCAGTCTCTGTGCAACAATAGTGGTTTTTTCTAATATTCATGCGCTAGCTCACGCATTCATCTAAACTACATTTACAAAATGCAGATAATATATATTATATTGTACAATCTTTCTATATAAAAAATCAATTAAAACACATAGACAAATTAACAGTTAACTTGATTTTACTTTGTTTAAATAAAAATACATTATCCGGAAATTATCTAAGATTAAAATTCCTTTTGTTGGCTAGATCCTTACTTGGATAGTGAACGCCTACGCGCTAAGTTCAACTGTATCAGTAACAACACTTTGAGAGTGGGAAAAGACCATTTTATTCAACTCAAAAAGTATTTACAGTTGGCATTCTTGTTGCTTATAGATCCACGGCAATGATTTTGGTGGTAGCTCAAAATATAAATGCAAAATTTAAAGCTGAGTGAAATAATCAGCCGAAGTTGCCCAAACGTATTTTAACGCGTAGTTGCTCTTGGCCATACCACTGCCATAAATTGACCGACAATTAATATTCACGGCTTTAAAATAGCAAACTTAAATATTAACGATGTTCTAACGTAGTCAAAAGAAAGAGAGACACGTAGCCGAAAGGCAGAACACACTCTGTCTAATAAAACTCGGACCGCAGCTTAAATCGTATCTTTCTACCTACTTTGCATAACACTCGAAACTGAAATCCTATTCTGGCAAGAAAGTGTGGGTTGAAAACAAGAGCAATAGGAAAGTTTGCTTAAAAATAAAATTAACTGTTGAATAACGTAAATAAATACCTTCAAACCTTAAGTTCCACAT